AAACTCAGGCACAAAGCTTCTTGAAATCACCTAATGCTTGTGTCAATTCCATTCCTTCGTATAATGGTCATACCAAATCTTCTCCAAACCCTCTTTCGTAGGAGGAGTATTTGAAGCGAGGTGGCTCAGAATAGCAAAGCTTTTCTTCCAGCCTGATGTAGCATGAATCTGGAAAATTATCAGTTGCCCACCAGATCCCTTCTGTCTACAGAAGGTAACTGTATGCCTTGTTCCAAGAGGAAATTCAATTTCAGGAAAGACTTCAGTCTGTGCCTTACACTAGACAGGCCAGTACAGATTCTTGTTGGCGAATAGCCTTAAGGCTACAATCTCATTCTCAAAGTGTGATAAGATTTGCTGTCAATTTTGTCCTGGTTTTGAAAGATTTGAGTGGAAAGAAGTTGCTTGGAAATGAGTTTTTAGCATCTTCAAACACCTCTTCCATCTTCAAAGCTTCTAATTTTGGACTTTTTGTGTAATGGTGGTTTCCTTTGAGATACAACTGTGTACAGTTTAAGGCTTGTCATTCTCAATTTATTATATGAATTTAGAATCTTATTCCAAAGCAATATTTAAAAGAGGCCAAAAACCTATTACATTTTATTTTTAAGAGTAAGGGAATGTTCGAAGTTGAGAAATGTAATTATTGTTCAGAGAAGCTGTAATCACAGGGATATAGTGGGTCGAGTTAAACTGATTAATTAGTGATGAGATTTGACATTAATCAATATTGGCATATGATAATTAAATCTGATCATTTAATTTCGCTGAATGAGAGTGAGTGCATTACGATGATGTTGAAATTTTAAAAACAGATTTTGGTTGCTGAGGAGTCTTTTACTGATTTTGATATTAAATCAACCCTTATGTAATTTGAATTTTTATTGTCTTCCTTGGCATATTTACAAAGTAACTCTTTAACAAAATAGGATATGCTCACCTTTTGGTATAAAATTTCACTGCATGTTAGTGCCTTGTAGTGAATGAGAGAGTTTAGTTTTACGCTGCACTCAGTAATATTCCAGCTATATGGCAGCGGTCTTCAAATAATCGAGTCTGGGCCAGACAATCAAGTGATCAACAGCATGAGCATTGATCTACGCAATTGGGATACAATGACATGTGTCAACCAAGTCAGCGAGTCTGACCATCTGATCCCGTTAGTTGCCTCTTACGACAAGCATGGGTTACCGAAGATCAATTCTAACCTGGATCTTCATGGGCAGCAGGGTTTCTGAATTTTATGATTCTAAAATAAAAGCTATAATCCCCTGTCCCTGGCTTACAAATTATTTCATTAATCATAAAGGCAAATTTTAAAAAGCGATTTTGGACTGACTAACTTGAGATTTGATGCAAAAAGAAAACTTAATGGTTCAACTTATAATTGCTGTTAGAGCTGATAAAATGTAAATTATAGTGTCTGATTTCAATAGAGCTGATGAAATATGTAAATTTCACAGTCTGATGCGATTAAACTGATGAAATTTAAATTTCAGTGTCTCATGTCATTAAACTGATGTCATTTAAATTTTCGTGTCTCATGTCATTAAACAAATGAAATGGAAATTTCAGTGTCTGATGTCACTAAACTGATGGAATTTATATTTGCATGTCTGATGTCATTTAAAACATTGAAATTCTGTTTCTTAAATCTCTGATCACAATCGTCCTGATAATTGATGAAATGTAAAGTACAAAAGAGTAAACATGATTGATCAGATATGATAATTCTGCCTTTGCTGCTAACAAACTTGTTCAATCTAATTAAAATCAGATATTGTATTTTGATTGAAACCTCCCCTAACAAAAAACCTACTACTGTCCCAAGCAAACTTTGATCCTTAAATAGAAATGAATAATGCATTGGTTTTTGAGCTGATCAAATGTTACCCTTTGCCATGCTTTCATCAAACTGGTAGCTATGGACAGCTTTTACAGGGAATTTTACTCGTGAGTGAAGGGTGAGATTCAAATCTATGCACATCTAAAAATCCTTGTTGATTTGTAAAAACTGAATTGACATCATGTAAAATATCCACACTATCACACTGTCATTACCCTTCATTCAGAACTGCCTCATTACATTCGTTTCGGAGCTCTGAAATCAGATATACTGCAATACCTCCACTCACTTGTAAAGAGAATTTAAAAGTCTCCACCATGATTGGCTGAATAGAAGTTCACGCGATGTAAGATATCGATGTGTAGTGATTACTAAAAGATCTGATTCAAATTAGATTAAAGGCAGATGCACGAAATGAAATTAAAGCCAGGTGATGAGAAAAAATGAGAAGCGTATATTTTTCCTCTCCTAAAGGTATTACGCTGACTTTACGTCGTCGCCAACGAAGAGTCGGATTCTGAGCCTAATGATATCTGACTGTTGGATGCAGTAGCGGATCACAATCAGATGTCAGTCTAGATACAGGGCATCCACTGTTGCCCGGGACGATACTCTCTACCAGGGAAGAATTAGTACATAGGATCACCATCTGTCTGGTGGGAAGCAACATGGCCGATATTTCCAGGAAGACGAAAGAAATGGTCGACTAACTGGTCATCTCCAATGAAGTCAGATAAGCTTAAATGGCTTAATATGTTGCCCATTAATTGTGACTGAAGATTGTGCAAGCCTTTGAGAGTTGGGTATATTGGATTATGGGGCTCAGCAATGGCTTAAACAGATTGGAAAAAAGGATTAGGAATAGGTCTTTCGTGCTGGTCTGTTTTCGGTGGAGGATCTGCAATCCAGAAAAAGAAGTGCTACAACTATTGTTCTTTAGTCTTGTTACCAAATGGAACTGCAATGTTTTGCCAATGCTTTGTTTCGGATGCTGTGCATATGGTCTTCATTTTGCATCCAGATGTGCATAAAAATTAGCATCAGTTTTGAAGGTGTCTACAGTGGTGTGCAATAGGGTTGGAGTGGTAAACAGAAACATTTAAGATGACCAATATGGAGGTTTTGTTTGTTTGTTGTTTAAAGCCACAATATCCTGTTAATACTCGACCGCCTCTGTGGTGTAGTGGTTAGAGCATCCGCCCGGAGAGCGGAAGGTCGCGGGTTCGATCCCCGACTGCGTCATACCAAAAGACGTTAAAATATGGTACTTGTTGGTCCCTGCCTGGCGCTCGGCATTAATGGGTACAACAAGGACGGGTCGGCTCGGAGTCAGTATAATGTGTCTGAGTGGGGTATTCATGCTTCACTGCGGCGTGGTATCTCAGTGGGCTAGCACTATAAAATCAGCTTCAGTCTGGGCTAGTACAAGCAGCTGCACATACACATACACACGCATGCACGTCGTCATATGACGTTATATTCTCAAGCACGACGTTAAACCCAATTTCACCTGACCTCACCTGTTAATACTCAAGTCTGGAAAAACCAAACCAGTGAATGATATTATGAACAATGTTGGCTGGGTATGCCACTCAAGTCGCCTTCTATAACCTTCTAGGTTGTTGGGGACAAATTCTAACCAAGCTTCCCCACAGGGTAATGAAGCAAAGGTGGCATATTTCATTTGGATGAGTAACAGAAGGGAAAAATGTCTACTGAAATCTATTTGCCTGAGGTGATCGCTCAAATTATCAAACTTCTTCCTTAATACAAGACCTGTGAAGGTCCGGATTAGAATTGATCTTCAGTAACCCATGCTTGTTGTAAGAGGTGCCTAACGGGATCGGGTGGTCAGGCTCGCTGACTTGGTTGACACATGTCATCAGCTCCCATCTGCACAGATCGATGCTCATGCTGTTGATCACTGGATTGTCTGGTCCAGACTTGATTATTTGAAGACCGCCACCATATAGCTGGAATATTGCTGAGTGCGGAGTAAAACTAAACTCACTCACTCCCTCACTCCTTAATACAACAAAAAGATCAAGCTGCATCAAGAAGTGTCAATAATGGACAAGCGGAGACATCCAGAATACCTGTATATCATGACGAGGAAGAAGATGAACCATATGCAGTGCTCAAACAGTAAAATAAAATAACTTATTGCATACCTTTCATGTAATGATCCAAAAACATTGCTCAGCTGACTGACTTAATGTACTTATGAATCTCTAAATCTTATATTGTGTATTAATCAGCTGACAAAATGGCCACTTATGAACAAGAAAACAAGTCTCCTGACAAATGTCTTCTTCAAAGATGATTTTTCAAATTTGGTGTTGTCCTCATGTGCATTAAGAGAGAGAGTGAGTGAGTGAGTTCGGTTTTATGATGCTTTTAGCAATATCCCAGCAATATCATGGTGGGGGACACCTGAAATGGGCTTCACACATTGTACCATGTGGGGAAATGAACCTGGGTCTTCAGTGTGATGAGCGAACACTTTAACCACTAGGCTGCCCCATGTGTACAATATAACTACCAGGACAAAATCACTCCCAATGGTTCCTTAGAACTGATTTAATATCAAGAATCCCTATTAGATCAATCATCAATATTTGCAAGTGTTTTAAGATATGTGTGATGGAAGTTGCAGAAACTATTCCAAATTCCTACAAATATTAAAATGATCCCCAGACTTTTTATTTTTCATTTATTAATGTGAATTTTAAAATTGATAATCTGGAAAAAGTAAATGAAATTTGTAAACCAGCAAAAAAGGTTGTTTCATAAACTGTATGAACCTGAAATATTTTAGCTCATTTAGCTTTGAACAAAGAAGACATAACTCTCAGTTTTCATGGCCCCGAAAATACAATATACTGTATCTATATGAAACAAAGTGTAAAATAGGTTTAAACACATAGATTACTAAACACTGTGAAAATCTGATTTTTAACTAAGTATTTCACATGAATGAGTGAGTGAGTGAGTGAGTAAATTTAGTTTTATGCCTCTTTTAGCAATATTCCAGCAATATCACGGCAGGGGACACCAGAAATGGGTTTCACATTTCATATGAATGAAACATAATGGATTATCATGATTCACCATATATTCTAGGTTGTAAAGAAAAATGCTCAACAAAATTTACCTTTTTGTCATAAAGTCTTGTGTCAATTTTAGTGAAATCGATAGCGTCGTGCATCGAAGCTCTTCTTCGTTGGTTATAGGCAGGGGGTGGGGTCGATGGAACAGCCTCGGATCCCATCATTGGGCCGGTCAGCTTCTCACTGGGAAAGGTGAAGGCCAACTCTCGGAGACCAGGTATTGAGGCAGGTGTAACTACACCGGAACTTATTTCTGTAACAGAAACAGAGAAACTATATTTATGAGAAATACATACTTGCATCAGAAATTATCTCTGCAGTTGTATATTAGATTAGTAAAACATAATCTGGAAATATGCAGACAGGCCAAGCTGAGCTGAGCTGTGCTGTGCTGTGCTGTGCTGTGCTGTGCTGTGCTGTGCTGTGCTGAGCTGAGCTGAGGTGAGCTGAGGTGAGGTGAGGTGAGGTGAGGTGAGGTGAGGTGAGGAGAGAGGAGAGGAGAGGAGAGGAGAGGAGAGGTGAGGTGAGGTGACACGAGGAGGGCTGAGGAGAGGAGAGGAGAGGAGAGGAGAGGTGAGGAGAGGAGGTGAGGAGAGGAGAGGAGAGGAGAGGAGAGGAGAGGAGAGGAGAGGAGAGGAGAGGAGAGGAGAGGAGAGGAGAGGAGAGGAGAGGAGAGGAGAGGAGAGGAGAGGAGAGGTGAGGTGACACGAGCTGGCTGAGGTGAGGTGAGGAGCTGAGGTGAGGTGAGGTGAGGTGAGGTGAAATTGGGTTCAACATTATGTTTATTGTCACCTTGGCCTGTCTGCATGTGCGTGTGTGTGCATGCATGTGTGCATGTGCTTGTACTTTTAGCATTAAAGTCACACCAATTGAGAGTCAGAGCTTGACAATGTTGTCTGCGACTTTGGTAACAAAAATGGCAATGTCAGTTTTGGATGACGTAATCATCTATATAACGACACAATAAATTTTCTCAACCCCATGGGCCTTTTGTGTGTCTGGTTTGCGTTGACACAATTTCATGCGAGTGTGGGTGCATGCATAGGTGGGTGCATGCATGTGTGTGTGTGTGTGTGAGTTTGTGCATCTATGAAACAAACACCCTTATAACGAACTGCAAGATGTAACAAACAGCTTTCACTGTCCGTCAACTTGTACATTTCAGTCGAACAACAAACTGAAATCAGCAATGTGTTTAAATTCGTTACAACCATAGTTTACTGTATGTATATACATACATCATATACGCCCAGTGAAATCAACACCGACAGCCACATGTCCATAGCTGTCAAACACATGCCTCACATTTATTGATTTATGTCACCGCAATCAGCAAGCTTCCTCCTTGTCAGCAGTTTAATCTGCCACACAATATACAGTACTATCTCAACTCCCTGCAAATTATGGGTCTCAGCTCTAGGACTATTCAATTATTTCCACCACGATCTCCCTTGCACTGATATCAACGCTGACCCAGCATAGGAAACACATGTTCCAACCCAGCTGGTCTGTGTGGCATCGATACGACGGATACATGAATGGTCTTCATTCATTTATTTCATTTTCTCCTGCAATTTTTCAATTTTTATTGAATTATAATATTAAGAAGAACAAATTTATGTCTGTTATATAATCAACCGACTTCGACTTTTTAAAAAATTACAAAAAGTGCTATGTCGGTTTGAAATTATGGTTATGTAACTTCTTTTGTACGTAGCTCCAGTTTATGCCAATTTCAATTTATAAACCAATTTCATAAATTGTTTGATGGATAGAGCTGTAACTTTTGTCTATTTCTCATTTTATTTTAAATCTATAATGGATTAAGTAATTGTGTCTAACAACCCTTTATCTAAAAAATTGATGGTGTACTGACATTTTGTTTGTGGTGTGCTTCTTATGCTTGCTCAGCAAAACTTTAGTTCAAAGTGAGGATAGCAGTTTTTCACAGAACACTTCGATCTCAACAAGAAACCATGGCAACAGGAACTATTCAGCATTAAATTTAGTTACAAGTTTTGTGCATTTGACATAAAAAACAAATTTAATCTTTATTTTGTTAGTTTTAAGACCACCTCACTATTGGTATTACAACAGGGGAAATCTGCAAGACAAGAAAAGCTGACCCAGTTCCAAAGAAGAAAAATGTTCAGATCAACTTCTGTTAATATAATGTTGATTATACATTTTGATATTTACACCACTTGTCATATTAGATCCTTGTTTGTGCTGTTGATCACTGGATTGTCTGGTCCAGATTTGGTTATTTATAGACTGCTGCTGGAGTATTGCTGAGTGCTGCATTAAACAACAAACCAATCAACCGAGGAACCAACTTAATATTAATCATCAAACATGTGGACCTTCTGAGATATTACTGAGGAAAATAATGTATGAATGAAAATTAAACTCGAACAAGTAGGAACTTATTTTCTCAAATATTTCACGAATCCTTTACACCTCCAAGTTTTGGAAGGCTAGCCTCAACTATGGTTGCTATAGAAACAGCATCTGATATTATGGAAATAAAAATCCAAAGATTAGTTTGGATTCAGAACCGATTCTGCTCCGTCAAATGAAACAGATTGTGTAGATGTGTTCGCCATTATAAAACAAGTAAAGTTATCAATGTCGTATATATTGGAATAAAAAAGTTGGAATTGTATATCCATGGAACTATCCCCTTGTTCATCACACCAACTTCTAAATGCTATGCAAATAAGTCACTTTACATCTGTCAAGAAGATCAGTACTTCTGTTAAGAAGATCAGTACATCTGTCAAGTCTAAGATCAGTACATCTGTCAAGAAGATCAGTACATCTGTTAAGAAGATCAGTACATCTGTCAAGTCTAACATCAGTACATCTGTTAAGAAGATCAGTACATCTGTCAAGTCTAACATCAGTACATCTGTCAAGAAGATCAGTATATCTGTCAAGTCTAAGACCAGTACATCTGTCAAGAAGATCAGTACATCTGTCAAGTCTAAGATCAGTACATCTGTCAAGAAGATCAGTACTTCTGTTAAGAAGATCAGTACATCTGTCAAGTCTAAGATCAGTACATCTGTCAAGAAGATCAGTACTTCTGTTAAGAAGATCAGTACATCTGTCAAGTCTAAGATCAGTACATCTGTTAAGAAGATCAGTACATCTGTTAAGAAGATCAGTACATCTGTCAAGTCTAACATCAGTACATCTGTTAAGAAGATCAGTATATCTGTCAAGTCTAACATCAGTACATCTGTCAAGAAGATCAGTATATCTGTCAAGTCTAAGACCAGTACATCTGTCAAGAAGATCAGTACATCTGTCAAGTCTAACATCAGTACATCTGTCAAGAAGATCAGTACTTCTGTTAAGAAGATCAGTACATCTGTCAAGTCTAAGATCAGTACATCTGTCAAGAAGATCAGTACTTCTGTTAAGAAGATCAGTACATCTGTCAAGTCTAAGATCAGTACATCTGTTAAGAAGATCAGTACATCTGTTAAGAAGATCAGTACATCTGTCAAGTCTAACATCAGTACATCTGTCAAGAAGATCAGTATATCTGTCAAGTCTAAGACCAGTACATCTGTCAGGAAGATCAGTACATCTGTCAAGTCTAACATCAGTACATCTGTCAAGAAGATCAGTATATCTGTCAAGTCTAAGACCAGTACATCTGTCAAGAAGATCAGTACATCTGTCAAGTCTAACATCAGTACATCTGTCAAGAAGATCAGTACATCTGTCAAGAAGATCAGTACATCTGTTAAGAAGATCAGTACATCTGTCAAGTCTAACATCAGTACATCTGTTAAGAAGATCAGTATATCTGTCAAGTCTAACATCAGTACATCTGTCAAGAAGATCAGTATATCTGTCAAGTCTAAGACCAGTACATCTGTCAAGAAGATCAGTACATCTGTCAAGTCTAACATCAGTACATCTGTCAAGAAGATCAGTACATCTGTCAAGAAGATCAGTACATCTGTTAAGAAGATCAGTATATCTGTCAAGTCTAACATCAGTACATCTGTTAGAAGATCAGTATATCTGTCAAGTCTAAGATCAGTACATCTGTCAAGAAGATCAGTACATCTGTCAAGTCTAACATCAGTACATCTGTCAAGAAGATCAGTACATCTGTCAAGAAGATCAGTACATCTGTCAAGAAGATCAGTACATCTGTCAGGAAATCAGGACACCATTTCTGTTTGAAATGTCGATCCCACTCAAAATTAAGAAACAGTATTCTTTATAAATGCTTTCTTGTACTTCCCACTAAATGTAAATTTCAGCATTTTTGTAACATGAATTGTGAGTCAGAGGCAGAAGAGGTTTCCTGCTACTTTGGTAAAAATTGGCAATGTCTGGGTTGGATGATGTAATCATATACTGGACAAAATAAGTTAGGGATATTGGTATTTTTATGATTGATATTTTATCAGTGTGTCAATGAATATATAGATCATTATTCATAATTTCAAAATTTACATATATCCCTAACTATTTTTGTCCAGTATATATATAACGCCACTATCAGGTTCCTCAACTCTATTTGCCTTTTACATATCTGGTGTGTGTTTGTGCAATCTCATGTATGGCTTAGATCAAACGTGAAGTGTTCCTTAATCAAAACTGACATTGATATTTTGCATATTTCAACATCTGGTTTCAAACATGATTTGCAGAAATTCACAAAAAATACCATTATGATGCAATATAACTACCATCCAAGTAGACCGCCTCCGTGGTGTAGTGGTTAGAGCATCCGCCCGGAGAGCGGAAGGTCGCGGGTTTGATCCCCGACCGCGATCATACCAAAAGACGTTAAAATATGGTACTTGTTGGTCCCTGCCTGGCGCTTGGCATTAATGGGTACAACAAGGACTGGTCAGCTCGGAGTCAGTATAATGTGTCTGAGTGGGGTATTCATGCTTCACTGCGGCATGGTATCTCAGTGGGCTAGCACTATAAAACCAGCTTCAGTCTGGGCTAGTACAAGCAGCCGCACCTACACATATACACATACACACGCATGCACGTCGTCATATGAGCAAATATTCTCAAGCACGACGTTAAACCCAATTTCACCTCACCTCACCATCCTAGTAAGATTCGGATGCTGACGATGTTCAGTGATGACAGGTTTGACTTATGAATTACTACATGTCTTCACACAATGTCACTTAAAAAAAGAACATAAAAAACATGTTATATTTATACATAAATGTCATGTTTAGGATTACTCTTTAAAAGTACAGA